TGTTTTTCTATCTCCTATGAAATTTATGCATCGAAGCTGCCAATAAGAATTCAAATGAGTCTGAAATTATAGACGAGAGAGTTGAGCGCTGACAGTTGACGGGTATAATGAGAATGTTACCATCCAAAATTATGCCTGTGAAATGGAGCTGGCCGTCCATATGAAAAGCAAACAGACGGAGAAAGTGAGTGAACGTGTCAGGTGATTTTATTTTTTTGAGCAGGAGCCCAGAGATGGACGGAGCCCTGCCCTGGAGAGTGTCCTCAGAGGAAGCATGAAGGAGGGAGACGTGAATGAAGAAGGATGAGATATTGAATAAAAATATGACACTGAGATAAGTGAAGTTATGTTCGCTGCTACGTTGTAGGCAAAAAAAGTTAAAAAAGAATGATTTAATTGTACAAGTCAACCATGCTGAATATAAAATTCTGGACTCACATAAAACCGGAGTCATTAAAACAGCCACAGAAAACGGTGTTAGTTATTATTATTGTCAAATCTTCCTAATCTGGGTGCAGAGCTGGGAACTACAGTGCTTAAAAATGACATGAGGAAAAAAAACAACAACACAGGAAACACACTCTCCTTTATTCTCGCCAACGGCTTGTTCAAAGTGTAAAGCCCTCTTTTCATTTCTTTGTCCCCGTCTGAGCGGCACATTTGCTGTTCAGCTGCTCGGAGACACGGCGAGTTTATTTATGTATCCGTTTCCCATAAATTAGAACATTTGCGCTGACAAACGCGGAAGTAGTCGCATTAGCGCCTAGTTCACACCCACCTTCCCCTGACTGCCGACTCTCAGGATGCAGAAGTCGGAGGAAGAAACGAGTGCTGTTTTTTGGGTTTTTTTTAATGTTGATCATAGAGAACAGACACCCAGGTGCACATGTAGACACACAAAAACACTTAAACAGACGCTGTCAGAATTTCTGAACTCAGTGACACTGACATATTTAAATACATCAGACAGACAAATTACTAAGTTAGTCTAACTAAAAGCTGCAAGTAGTGAGAGCAGGAAAAGCGACATTTGCCACAATAATAAGCAGAAAATAATGCACAAGTTAAGGATGGATACATATGGAGTGTACCAGTAGCTTTATTCCATACTGTGCTTAGCGCTGGGAACAGGACCCCCCACCCCTGCGACCCCATATATTCTCTCTGTTATTTCAGGGAACAAAAGCGGAGCTCTCGAGGCCATGGGTGGATCCATGAAAGGAAGAAAGGAGTCCTGCTCCTGCTCCTGGCTGAATAGGGGCCTTTCACACTTAGAGAGGCCTGTTTACACTCCCTCAATAATGGCTCTAATTTTCTGATCATTATTGAGTAATTCCATCCACCCCCACACCCAAGGTTTAACGCTTTCTCCAATCACTCATGGCACCACGTCATGTCTCTGAAGGGCCCCCAGGTCTCTGTCCCAGATGATGTACAATATATGTTCTCCATTTCCCCAAAACCCATCAGTCCTTAACCCTGACTACCATTTCCTGCTCTGACGATGAACACATTTAGCAAAAAATTGTTAATTGTTGTTAATTTGCCAGTGACATCCCCCCCCCCCCCAGCGGACTCATTCTCTCCTCTGATTGGAGAGGCGCAGCACTTTATCCTCCATTTTGTTTTGGACCTGAATCCACAGCAGCCACCGATCACACCGAGTAACAACATTCGCTCTGCTAAAAGCTGGTGGAAAATATTTTGGAGGAAGGAAGAAAACAAATAAAACAACAACAAAAAACGCACACGCCTGGTAACATGATAGCCATTTTATTCTGCGCGCTGAGATCTCCATAAAATAAGACCTAGGTTCACAAGTCCTGACGCTCGCCTTTTTTGGCAACCCGCTGTGAAAAAGCAGCCATATGAGTGGTGGTAAGGGCGTAGGGGGATGCGCAGAGGCGAAGACATGTTAAGCGAAAACAAGGATATGGGGGGAAAAATGTTAAAATGAGAGAGAAAGAAAAGGATCAGAAGGAGAGAAGTTGGCAGAGACTGTGTCGGTTTGAAAAGCTGGCACCTTCTAAACAGAGCTGCAGCTTTGGGTGCCAAATGCTGCCAACCAGCCCCACTAGCCTGAATATCTGCCCTCCCTCTCTCTTTGTTTCCAGCATGGCATTTTGCATCATCTTTATTCTACGCTTTTCTTCTGACTTTATATCAGCGCTCAATATCATACTAACAGCAGTGACTGACATTTATTACCATTAAATGAGGGACTAAAAACAGCCAGGGAAATGTTAAAGGGAGATATTTATTAATTTATTCATTATTAGTGTTCATTTCAAGGATTTTAATTTGTTTAATTTTAAATGTAAGAGGATTTTGTTTGCGTATAATTGCTAATTTTTGAATTGGAGACGGTTTTAAATCAAAAGTGAAATCCACACGGAGACGGGGGATCTGTACTCAGCGGTGTCGTGGTGTTCCGGTCCCATTTTCCGTATGGAAAGAGCTGTCCCAATTACAGGGCAGTCTCCCCGTGCTCTGCTCCACTGGACCGAGGGAACAAGGCGGACTGATCAGAATCTGGCTGCTGGGAATCGGCCCAGAAAAGACGCTCTCTTTTCCCTCTCCTTTTTACTCTTCTGCTGCCTTCACCTCTCCTCTCCTCCTGCTCTTTGCCCCTCGGCTCAAGCAGCTGAGAAGCCAAGCCACTCCTCCTGTGCGGGGATACGTATGTTTTTAGGGGACAGACAGATTTCAGGCCTGGCGCCTGTACAGAGAAAGAGAGGACTGGTCATGCTAATTCACACACTGAAACGAGACAGCGCTAGAGACCAAAAATAATACACAAGAAACTAGGGGGAAAATGTGCGCTTATTTTGTGTTCCACTTGTTTCTAAAAAGGAGAAAATCAATTCAGGAAAACGGTCAAATAAATGCAATTATTGCTCAATAGATACAAAGCCTTTATTTACAGGCTGAATAGCCTATTTATTTTGTTCCCTGTGTTTAGTATATTCATTAATATTAATGAATAATATATTCATGTTTAATGCGTATTAAGTAATTTTATTTCTTGAGAAATAAATACATTCTGTGTGTAAAAAAAAAGAAGCAAGTATAAAAGTGAACTGAGCTGAGCTCCTAAATTGCTAAAAGAGACACCATAACATTTATTTATTAACCTTAATTACACAAATAATTAAAAATCACTGTACAGTGAAATTAGGAAATAAAGCTAATCCATGTTGCCCATAATAGGCACTTTCTGGTACAAGGGATTTTTCTATTTGCAAAGCTAAGACCTGACCTTTGTTTCAAAATTAGACTTAATTCAATCATATACTCAGTCTTTTGTGTATCTTTCCCAGTATTATTCACTAAACTGGATAATTACAATAAATATGAAGCAGGCTGGCCTGCTCCCAAAGCCCATAGAGCTGCTCAGCAGTCGGACCTATAGAGCAGTGGAAAGTTGTGAGAGATCGGTTAAAAGGAGGTCAGAGGATTGGAGCGAGCGGCAGCGTAACGCTTCGCCTGTTTTCACCGATTTATTTGGGAGCCCGATCATACTGGAATAATCTGTTTACCAGCAATTCCTTACACTCCGCACACTCCACTCCTCTTTTCTCTCTCGCTCCTTATATGACACACACACACATACGACACGCACTGCAAAAAGCAACTGGAAAAACTGGGGGCTCTGAAAACGGGCCAAACCGTGGCTGTTGGAGGCCCCTATGCCTCAGTGCATATTAAAAACACCACAGTGTCACTGACGCTGTCCCGTCATGAGAGGGGCTCGCCGAAGCTCAAACTTTATTGGGCACATTATTTCAAATGACAACAAAGCGTAAGAAAGTTTCCGTTGAAAGTGTCGGACCAGCAGTGTTTTTCACACCAGATGAATGCGGCTCCCTCGGCGCCGACACTCTCTATTTCTCTGTCGGCCCGGGATACAGACCGGTGCCAGAACACTAGAGCACAATTCTGCTCTCCATCCAGAAATCTCTGCTGTGCACAACAGCCAAGGAAAAGAAGAAGAGACTGAGAGGGATTTTTTGGGGGGGTTCACATCATTATGATTCCCTCTTTTCTTCATCAACTGACGGAAAGCAACCTGGCTCTACGGGAGTATTACTGCTCGTGTGATATTATGCTGCACATACTCTGCTCAATGTGCCCCAATGTATAGCCTCTGTAAACCAACACATACACATATCTGTCCTGTTTGGTCTCTTCTTCATTATGTACCTGCATCTGATAATGTTACCTCCTTTTGAAGCTCAGGATATTAGGCAACGCAGATAAGATGTGTTTGATGGATTAGCGTGACGTGAAGGCTTTAAGTCTCTCAGTCGTCTGTCTCCCTGTCGATTCCTCTCTTTGTTTGCCTCTATTAAAAGATATTCTCTTGGTCATTTGTAATTTTGGGACTACGCGCAGAGACACATTGATGGGTAAATGAACATCAGATCAGCACGGATATGCCGTGCAGTCTGGCATACACACACACACACACACACACACACACACACACACAGTTGGCTTTCGGACCTGGCCCAGGCACCTCTCTTGTCCGTCTGTCTCCAGCACAGAGAACAGATATGGAGGTTGTACTCTCAGAAACATCTTTTTGTCATAACAGCTCAAGTAATGAAAGCTGTATGAGGCAGCTCGGGCTCCAAACATGACTAATGCTGGCACCGTGCAGCTTCGTCAAGACAAATACAGAACACAGCGCTCAAAAAAACATGACCTGATCCTGGGTCTCTAGGTGGAGGAAGGCCCTCATCGCCCAACTGGCAAGCCAGACTTCGACAGACATGTGATCAGCGATGAGATCAGATCCCTCCCTATCTCCCTCACTTCCTCAACATCCCTGAACCATTATTGCTATCATCATCACATGCAGCAGAATGAGTGAAAAAAACAATGAACCACTTTTGCGGTTGACTCTCATCATGATCTGTGTGTGTGTGTGTGTGTGTGTGTGTGTGTGTGTGTGTGTGTGTGTGTGTGTGTGTGTATGTGCGCAGCCAGGTATTTACCAAAAGTGAGTGTGTTCAGGCTCTGTTTGGTAGTGGAATCTTGCTTTACAGCTGCAGAGCAGAAGTGCAGATCAGAATACAGCGGCTGTGATCTGTCCCAGCTCTCACTGCCCCGCCTGGAAGGGCCCAAGTCTATAATTGGACAAAAGCATAGACACATCCTCTGTACTGTAGGGGAGCAGAAACAGAGAAGAAGGGGGGGGGGGTGGATCTCCTGTTCTGTCAATCACAGCGCTTGAAAGCAGAGCCCCCCCCCCCCACACGCAGCTGGCGACAGTGACATCAGTGGGACGTGAGAACTGAAACGCCGCGGCGGGGACAGGCGGGTGAGACGGCTGCCGTCCAATCATCAGGCCTGGCAACTGATAGCTTCCGCAAGACACAGACACCCTGGAATGGGGAGCTAAGAATAAAACTGTAACGCTGCCACCCCAAAGGTTAGAATGGAGTCTCTGTCTGTCTGTCCTCTGTAAACTCTGGTTAACCCCAGCCAGCCTCCTGGAAAACAGAGCAATTTGAGCGTGTACGAGTGAATGTTTTTTGTTTGGTTTGTTTCCTAATGTTCTCCCTGTTCCATTCCAGTCACATGTGCAAGGTGCTGCACAGACTGCCTTTGAGGTTGCTGTGGAAAAGCTGAGCAGGATCAGAATAGGAAACCGTCTCTCTCCCACAGCAGTGGACCTTTATCAACAGATGCAGCTCTAAATGCATTCTGCTTCTTTTTTCCTTTAGACATGAGCAGGAAAGACAAAAAATAGCAATGCTTATGATGGGAACACAAGCCTTTTTTATCCAATTAAAAAAAAATTTATAGTCAATTAAGAGAATGGTGTGCTCACTACTGAAAAAAGATTTAAATAAGAATGCTCATATATGTAGAAAAAGAAATACAAATGTGACGTACAAACACAAATCAGCAAGATGAAGGCTAGTCCAGTGTATATACGGGGGTGAGTGGCTGCTGGATTCTGGCACAGAGTAAAGAAAAAGGCTTTACTCCGAGGGGCACCAGGCTGCGCTGGGAGCTAATCTGAGCTGCGGTTCGCCACGGCGCATTGTGGAACAGGAAGAGGCGCTCACGGGAGGCCCCGCAAACTCAAGCAGAGTTACACACTGGGCTGAAAGGAGCCTGGCAAGGGGTACTCTGTCACAGAGCAACGCTAAACCTCCCTGCCAAGGAGACGAATTAAGGTCCTGTAACTGTATGCCAGTCTGTGGTAAGAGACCCAGGATAATAGTAAAAGGGTTAAGAAAGGGTCTGTAATTGTGTTTGCGTTTGTGTGTGTGCGTGTAATGAGACAGCTAGTGACTGACTCTACCTGCAAACACCTGAATCATGGAAACAGACAACTAGACTGGAACTGTAAAGTAGCATAATGATGAAAAGACAAAACACATATTATACACATTATAGCAAATTTTAAACAGGTACAGATGGGCTTCAATCGTGAACGTGAGACACTAAATCTCACTAATAAGTCGCATATAGGACAGAGCAAATTTCAAGCATCTACAAATATGAGTGCTACGGTTTGCCTGACACACTTACAGTGCCACTGATGCATCTTCAATAACTGTGTTTTCAATGTCATTGGACTAAAAGTAATTTGTTCCACATTTTTAAACTGAATCACATGACTGCTGCACAACTAAAAAACAAACAAACGTGACTTTAATTATTTAGATTTGCTGCAATAAAAGTGGATTTTAACAATAAAGAACAATTATGTTCGGCCCAGACCACTGCAGTAATACCCCAGTAGTTACTGTAAAAACTAAATTGCTTAAACTGAATAGAACAAAATATAATCTTGTTGTTTTACATCATAAGTGTTTTACTTTTTTTTGCAAAAGCAATAAAAACATAGTTAATTTAAGATTATGATGTTAATTTAGTGTTAATATTTTAGTATTGCGGTTTACACAAAATTGCTAAAAATATGTATAAAATAAAATTAACATCTATGTTGATTTTTTTCCCACTGAGCCCCATAGGTATGTGTGTAAGTAAGAATATTCCGACTATTTTATTTTACAGTGTGAAACTGCCTTCAGAGAAGAATGCATGTTTGTTTACACATTACACTAAGATATTTTCACTACCTCTATTTTAACTTTATGGTCTCAGCAGGAAACTCGTGTGCCGAATATGGAAAAATACAGCATCCCATAAACAACCAGAGGCAGAGGCAAGCTGTTATAAACAGAAAAGTCTCAACTTGTGTGTGTGTGTGTGATCAGTACAATCAGACAAACAACAAATGGGGCAGCATGGGTGAGTTGTGTTTGAGGGAGGGCTCCTGTGTGCGTTTGTGTCCACTTGCATGTTTGTGTGTGTGTGTGTGTGCGCTGAGTGGTGTAAGGCTGAGGCGGCTGAGGCTGCAGACAGGCTGACTCTCTCTGCCTCCTGAACTACCTGGGACCGGGCCAGCTGTCACTGCACTCTCCAGACCACCACACACACACAATCACAAAAGAACCCACAGACACAGACACAGACACAGACACACACACACACACACACGACACACACCGCTATTGATACACACCAATCTCACAATAACATACACATGGATTACAGACACATGACAAACTGCCTCTCACATACACACACACACACACACACACACACACACACGTATGCACATGCATGCACACACAGATAAACAGGGTTGCAGATGCTTTTGTTTACTGATGGCACCGGAAAACATGCACATTTGGATTTAGACAAATTTGCACACAAATACTTGAACAAATGTACCAGTGCAAACATATCTCTAGGTAAACACAGGTTTTAAGCCTGACTGTCAAATTCTCAGAATCTCTTTAAACCAGAGAGAAACATCTATCTGAAACACATTTTTTGAAGATTAGACCGCGCAGACTGGCCCTTTAAATGTTAAGACGAGGACGTTATCTTAGTCCTGACTGTGTTTATCAAAGCCTGGTATTGGCTCAGCTTGGTACATAATGAGGGGCAGGGTCTAATCTTTGATTCACATGCCAAAGTGTGTGTGACACTTAATATACTGACCTGTGTGTGCGTGTGTGCGCGCATAAATGACCAGATGAAGAAAGAAAAAAAAAAGGCTCACTAGCTGCTGTCTGTGGGAGTTTGTCATATAGGTGACTACAGTAAATCTGCCCACATACCTGGTGAGTGGACGAAGTAGGCCAGGTAGAGGTCCAGCTCTTTGACCGCCACTCCAATGTGGTGCGGCTGGACACACAGGCCGTGGTTGGAGCACTGGGGCGACTTGACCAGTCGCTCCCCATCTGTGCTCTCCAGGGGGCTGCCCTTGAACAGGATGACCATCACCAGGTCCAGCCGCCACACCTTGTCGGCCTGGCGGAGGCAGTCGATGCGGCGGATCTTGCCCTTCTGGTCGGGGTTGGACAGCACACAGCAGGGGGCCTTCTTCCCCGTGATGGTGAGCACAAAGTCCTCGCGGAACTCTGGCCGGATGTCCTTGCGGAGCTTGGCCAGCAGGCGCGAGGCCCACTTCTGCTTGATCTCTGGCTTCTCCCCCAGCAGCTCGTCCTTCACCGCGCGTTCCTCGTCCTTGGTCATCCTCTTTTCGTGCTTCTTGAAGTACTTGCGCTTACGGGCCTGCAGGTTGAACCAGGTGTAGGAGAAGGCACGGACATGGGGGAGGAGGGCCTCAATGAAGGGATGAAATTCATCCTGATAACAGAGAGAAAGATGTGGCGTTAGGAGGCTGAAAAAGGCTTTTGGTTTGAAAGAAAGCATGCAGATCTTCAAAATAAAGCTGTTAAAACATTTTGACAAATTTCAATGAAAAAGAGGCAATTGGGTAACAGTGAAAGAGTAATAAAATGTATTATAATACAGTAATTATATTGTTATCAATAGTTAAATCAAAATGATCATAATTACTTATTTGTTAATAAGTAATTACTATAATTTAAAATTTAAAATCTAATTACAGTTTACTAAAACATTTAAATTCCAAAAAAGCAATTCAAATAAATATTCTCATCTAAAATGTCAAAAGTCTTCATCATTATCACAATTCAGATAAAATACAAATGATAGGCAGCTATCAAAAATGGAAATTAATTAACTGTAAGATGCAAAGCCTCCTTTTTCATAAATAGAAAGCAAAATATTGAAGACAACAAATACAAAATGCGTGAATTCAAATCCAAAAGCTACTGAAAAGCTGAGCCAAGTTGCGCTCCCGGTGTTCTGCTGTAAAAAAGAAAAGTTATTCTGCTCTACCATAATACCTTCACTACATATCTCTGGGCAACAAAGCCCAGATCTCGCCACAGCGTTCCTGTGCCAGGGTTGCCACACACCGGTCGCTCACCACCGCCAAGCTTTGCCGCCACAAGACCACTGTTGAAATGTGCTGCTAAAAGATCAGCCATACCATTTCCTATCTCTGCTACCATGCAAGGGAGCTCCAACCCGACTCACATTTCCACAACAAACTGAAAGCAGACAGAAATCACCACAGAAAACCACACTGCTAGAGGAAGACAGACGGCCTGGTAGTTACCATTTTGCACTCTCATCATAAATTTGGCACAGCGTTTAAAGTGAAAAAAAAAAATCTCCTGCACCAGTTTTTTTTCCTCCCGCGCTCCCCAATGTAAAGCAAGTGCTGGTTTGGCAGGGTGTGGAGAATTAGCAGATGAAAAAAAAACTTGGGGGTGGGGGGTTCATAAAAAAAAAATTTGCACAATTTGCTGCTCACTAAAAACAGCGGGCCAAAGTTTAAAACCTAAACCAAACAAACCCCAAGATTTCAGCAAGGAGAAAATTCACTACAGCAGGACCACAGCCAGCAGCTCATTACACAAAAGCAAAAAATGACAAAAGAGTCACTTAAAAAACTTGTAGCACAAAAAAATGCATCAAGTAAAAATAGAAATATTAACAGTATTGCACTGTTAGAAAAAAAGAACTTCAACAACGGTGAGAGATGCACTTAAAATAAACAGTCCTTTGTGCATTCCAAAAAACCCAAAAAAAAATGAACCTTGAAAAAAAAAATCCTTGGCAAAGTGTAATTGGTAGTGGTGTCTGTTCTGATCCTTGGGCCCGGCGCAAGCCTCAAACACACACACACACACACACACACGCACACACACTCACACACAGATGGGGGGGCCAGGGAGAGCAGAGCACAGAATGGGGAAAAAAAATAGAGCCGAATCAATGTTGGACGAGCGCATACGACCGCTGGCAAAGCCGAGTGCTGCTTCTTTTTTCCCCTTTTCTCTCCAACTCTCTCTCTTTCTCGCTCGCCGTCTCTCGTCCTCTCTGCGTTCTTTCCCTAACCATTGCTTGAGCCTTTGCCAACACGAGTAGGGCCCACCTATTTGGCAACAAGATGCCTGTAGCCCAGCCAATGCGTTAGCTTCAAGAGCTGAAAGGGAGGGAAGAGAGAAAGAGGAGAGGGTTGGGGAGGGGAGGGTGGTGGGGTGGGTGGGTGTTGTGGCAATGAGAGGGAGAGCGCGAGAGCGCAGGAGAGAGAGGAAGACAGAGAGAGAGAGAGCAGGTGGGAGTGTATGAGAGCGAGCAGCCTTGTCCGATGCTGCACAATTTGCCAAATCGACAAGTTCCACTCTGACACGGAGGCAAAGTTCAGGGGAGCAAGCCTTTTCCTGCATCAATCCCTGCAGCCCTCAGCCTGCCTCCATCTTTACTATGGCCGCCATTGCCTCGTCTCCCTCACCCGATACCCCCCCCCCCCCAAACACACACACACCCGCCCTCCTCTGCGCTTCTCTGTCTCTCTCTGTCTCTCTCTACCCTTCTCTCTGCTTGCATAATGCCACCTTGGCAGAGGATGGCAAAGAGAGGACACACAGCTTCAGAATCCCTCCAGACCCCACCACCGGCAGCTGCTCGTGGGTTTACCACGGCAAACAAAGAGGGAGAAAGAAACCCAGGCAGCCACACTCCTCTGACTGCACACCCAGCAATCAATGACGAGATGATTCAGAGGCAAAATACTGAAATGGTTGCAGAATTTAAGAGGGAAGGCAGCATGCAGAGGAAATAGAATCTGCCTCAGATGTATTGAACAGCACTGCAAGCAGAAGATAAATGGTCAGCAAGAGCGTTAACGTCTCCCACCAAATCCCCAATTTGCTCTGTGCTTCCCTCCCTAACCCCGGGAGGATTTGGCGTTCGGTCCGTGCGCGGCAACGGCTGCCATGTTGCCTCATCGTGAAGCATGTCAATCAGGGTTGCACCTGCTCCGCAGACTGCCAGTCTGGAGGCACAAGTGCTGCTGAATCATATACCCGGGAACCGAGCCTTGTGACTCCAAACAAAAAAACTACAGACAAGAGGGAAAATTCAGCGCATACACAAATCATACAATTCCTTAGTTCATGTGCTGTTCACATAATTTACAACTCGGCCAATACTGGAATCCAAAGCAACAAAACCTATCCAATATCGCCTAGAGGCTTGCCCCACTTAGAATCACGTGGAGTCCACAATTGCAGATGCAAGGAAATGTGTGCTGAGCTGACAGGATATATTGATTAGCCAATCAGCAGAACATTATCCTGCAACTATTTTGAGAATTGCTTTAGTAATTTTTCAACCAAAAATGCTCAACATTTCTTAGTCTGAGCTTCTCAAAAATGAGGATGTGATGCTTTCCTTACATGATAACTGACCATGAGTTTTGAAAACAAGCAATGTCACCTTGGTTACTATAATTGGCAGTTTTCACAGCTTTCTGGCATTTTATAGACAAATAGATCAATCAAAAAAGCCATGGACAGATTCAAGCTATAATGAAAATTATCGTTAGATGCAGCTCTAAATGAGTGTTTGAGCTCTTCTTGTTCAAAGAAAATGACGAGGTGCAGACACAACTGCCCAAAAATCTGCCAGAAGGAAGGTTAAATTTTTAAATAATAACAGTCACCATTAAAATTCTCATTTAACCACAGCAAAACGGCATCATACAAACAAAGGCGGAGGCACTCAGTGAGACAAACACATATACCACCATTCTCTCACTAATACACATCACAGGGTCGCTTCAAACAGCAACACACTTCAGCTTCATCTTTGAGCCGTGAACATCAGCCTGGTGAAGTGCTGACTCGGTTCACACAGTGAAGAACAACACACCGAGGCCAAAGTTTGATGTATGGTTAGATAAAGCAACAAAGGAACCCAGGGGATTCACACATGTCACTGTGGTGTGTGTGTGTGTGTGTGTGAGAGAGAGAGAAGCATCAGAGTTAAATAGATTTCTGTTTCCATCACCACCTGCAGTACAAAATTCAGGAAACTTAACTGGCACTTGAATGTGATTCCTGTGTGTCTGCTTTTCAGTAAAAAAAACTAAGCATCTCTGGGTGACTCTGCCAAAATGCAAATAAACCACTATTCAAACGTCACTGGAATTTGACTACAAGGGGGTTTAAGTCATTTTCCTTAGCTATGCTTTTATGCCTTCCATGGGCTGAAAATAAATCACATATTTATTTCTCTGGAATAACTGTTGCAGATACCTTCAAACTGCCAAATCTGGAGGGAGAAAACGATCATTCAAACTCTTGGTGGGTGAGCTGCACTGAAGATTTGCATGTCTCCACTATCTGCTGCACCACACCAGGCCCATATAATGCTCAGGTTGCTATATTGAAATGTGCACTTATTAAGGTTGTCGAACAATCATTAACCCGACATGGAAGCTTCCCTCGGGTTATCTCCCCACCTGGAAATTAAATTAAGGCCAAACGCTCAGACTTCTTATCAATTAGCAGTCAGACCTGACCGTTTTATCTTCCTGATATAGGCCTATATATTTATTTATTTTTTACAAGCAAACAGCCAACCAGTTCACCTTCAAACAAAAAGTGAACACGAGTTACAGGTGCTACATCTCGTTGCTTTCACCTTAAAAGTCCCGGGTGGCGGGGGAGGGGGGGTTCTGCTGTGACCAATCTCCACCCAGTCTGCACATGATGCATTGGGTCACATTTCAGGCCTGGAAATACAAAATGATAAACAATCCCCGCGCGAGTTTCTCTAATAGACCGATATTCACCCAATTAAAGTCATGGATTATTTTCCACCAACATGTTTCTCTGGCTAATTCCCTTAAATATCATCCAGACTCAGTTATTAAGACGAAAAACTCAGCCAAAACAATTAAAAATGCACCCTCACTTCTTGTGTTTTCCCTGTCTCTCTTTCTCACAGGGCACTTAAAATATGAATAGTTAAAAAAAAAAGAGTGAAGACATCATCGATGGAGTCTGCCAGCAAAAACATGGAAATGAAAGGGTCCGAGAGAGAGAGAGAGAGAGAGAGAGAGAGAGAGAGAGAAGAGGACGGGCTGGCATTCCCACAAGCCACACATTTGTACACCTTTACTAAAACCCGACGTAAATTAATACCGGGAGAGGAGACCCAAAACACATGGAAATGTGTGTTGAAAACGTTGTCTGTCGAGTAAATGAGGCGCACTTTCCTGTAAGGATATAGCCTACTGCTGAAGATGTGACGTTCAATAGTTGGATAGGCCTGTGAGTCTGGTCTCACCCATTTTATCACATGCTTTAAGGGAGATTCATTTTCAGATTTATTTTTTAAATAAACTAGATAGGCTACGCCTGAATAGACTATCAAAATGTGTCTTATGATATTTTGTATTTTTGATCAAAGATCACATTTCA